TCTCAGCACCACGGCAGAAGCAGTTCAAACAAATCATAACTTTGCTGCTGCTGCTGCTGCTGCTGCTGCGGCTGCTGCTGCTGCTGCGGCTGCTACTGCTGTCGTTGTTGCTGCTGTTGTTGTTGCTGTTGCTGCTGCTGCTAGCACTCTTGATATCGCTGGTGCTGCTACTCCCATAAGAACCGACGCTGCGGCTGCTGCTGCTCTTGCTGCTGCTGCTGCTGCAGACAGCACATTGTATCCTAAACTCCTTCAAAGACAACCCGACGCCGCAGCAGCAGCAGCGGCCCCCGCAGCAAATTGCAGCAATTGCTGCAGCATCAGTTGAAGCATCAGCACCACGCCTGCGCACAAACCCTAAACCCTAAACCCTAAACCCTAAACCCTGAACCGTAAGCAGTGCAGCATAGACCCTCTACGCCCTATACCGTAAACTCAAAGTCGCAAACCCTAAACCCTAAACCCTAAACCCTAAACCCTAAACCACGAACCACTTGTGTCTGGAGTCTCTTCGAGATGTGCTTGGACCCGATGGGCGAACCTTCTGCACCGGTGCTGCTGCTGTTGCTGCTGCTGCTGCTGTTGCTGCTGTTGCTGCTGTTGGTGCTGCTGCTGCTGGTGTTGCCGCTGCAGCAGCTGGCGGATGTCTTCTAACATTGTTGTCTGCTCCTGCCGCTGCTGCCGCTGTTTCTTTCGGTGTTGTTGCTGCTGCTGCTGCAGCAGCAGGTGTATCTTTGCCTACAACAGGTGCTGCTGCTGCTGCTGCTGCTGCTGGCTTTGCTGTTGGTGCCGATATCGCAGCTGGGGCTGCTGCTGCTGCGCCTGTTGCTGCTGTTTTTGATTTCTCTTGCGTATTTGCTGCTGCTGCTGCTCGCGGAGATACACCAGGAGCCGCACGTGCTGCTGCTGCTGCAGCGGGGCCTGTTGCTGCTGCTGCTGCAATGGCAGCAGCAGCAGCAACAGCTGCATTTCGTGGGGAACGTTGCTGATGTGTATCTGCAGCTGCAGGAGCAGCAGCAGCAGCAGGTGGAGCTGCAGCAGCAGCAGCAGCAGCAGCAGCCGCAGCAGCGCCGCTTCTGCTGCTGCGTCTCGATGCAGCAACAAGTGCTGTGTCTGCTCCTGCTGCAGCTGTTATTGCTGCTGCTGATCGCTGCACACTTGGTGAACTCTTTGCTGCTGCTGCTGCTGCTGCTGCGCTGCGGGTGGTTGCTGGCCGTCGAGGTGGTGGTGGTGCTGCTGCAGCACTTGGATTTGCTGCTGTAGTTGCTGCAGCAGCAGCAGCAGCAGCAGCTGCTGCTGCTGCTGCGGCTGACCGTGTTGTTGCTGGTGTTGGAACAGGCCGAGCAACAGCAGCAACCTGCTGCCCACTGCTGCTGTTGCTGCTGCTGCTGCTGCTGCGCTGTGAAGTGGCAGCAGCACCAGGTGCTGCAGGCTCCGCATTTGCTGCTGCTGCTGCAGCTGCAGCAGCTGCAGCAGCTGCTGCTGCTGCTCGCTGCTTGGTTTGTCGCAGTGCAGGAAGCTCAGCAACGGCATTCTCCTGCTGCTGCTGCTGGCCTGCCGCTCCAGGAGTTGCTGCTGCTGCTCCACCTGCTGCTGCTGCTGCTGCTGGTGCTGCTGCTCCTGCTGCCGCTGCTGCTGAATCCCTCAAGGGCCTTTGACGCAAGCCAGGCCTTGACATTGGTGCGGAGAGCAGCAGCAGCTGCTGCTGCTCTTTCTGCTGCTGCTGCTGCTGTTCCTCTTTCTGCTGCTGCTGCTGTTGCTGCGGCTGCAGCAGCAGAGGGCTCAGCCTCCATAGGGAGGCTTGCCGCTCTCGGCACTGCTGCTGCTGCTGCTGTTGTTGTTGTTCCTGCTGCTGTTGCTGCTGTTGCTATTGCTGCTGCTGCTTCTGCGCTTCTCAAGTACCTCTGCAGCACTTGCTGCTGCTTCTGCTACAGCTGCTGCAACTGGTGCTGCTGCTGCGGTTGCTGCTGCTGCTGCTGCGCTGTTAGTGCGGCTCTGCAGCTGTTACTGGTGTTATTGATGCTGCTGCTCCTCCGCTGCTACTGTTGCTGCTGCTGCTGCTCTGCTGCTGCTGCAGGGGGAACGGTCGAAGATCGCTCGAGGGATCGAAACCCTAACGATGAGGGTTTAGGGTTTAGGGTTTAGGGTTTAGGGTTTAGCGGCAGCACAGGTGCTGCACGATTTGTCGACAAGCCACGGGAAAAAGGGCTTGCAATTGCAGCAATCCTTTATTCTGCTGCTGCTGCTGCTGCTGCTGTTGCTGCTGCTGCTGCTGCTGCTGCTGCACCTGTTGCTGTTAGAGTATGTCTGAATTAAAGCAGCAACAGCAGCAGCAGCACAGCTAAGGGTTTTGTTCGTCCTCTCTATAAAATAAGAAAATAAATAAAACTACTCTTGATGCACTCTCTGCAGCAGCAGCAGCAGGCCTTGCTGCTGCTGCAGCCCTTGCAGCAGCAGCAGCAGCAGCAGCAGCAGCAACAGCAGCAGCATGCTGCTGACT